TTCAGCTCATTTAAACCAGTTTTTACAGTTTTAGTAAAGTTGTATTTTAGATCATTTAAACCAGTTTTTACAGTTTTAGTAAAGTTGTATTTTAGATAATTTAAGCCAGTTTTTACAGTTTTAGTAAAGTTGTATTTCAGCTCATTTCAACCAGTTTTTACAGTTTTAGTAAAGTTGTATTTTAGATCATTTAAACCAGTTTTTACAGTTTTAGTAAAGTTGGATTTCAGCTCATTTAAACCAGTTTTTACAATTTTAGTAAAGTTGTATTTCAGCTCATTTCAACCAGTTTTTACAGTTTTAGTAAAGTTGTATTTTAGATAATTTAAGCCAGTTTTTACAGTTTTAGTAAAATTGTATTTCAGCTCATTTAAACCAGTTTTTACAGTTTTAGTAAAGTTGTATTTCAGCTCATTTAAACCAGTTTTTACAGTTTTAGTGTATTTCAGCTGCAGTGACAGTAGACGCCGCTGGGGGCGCTGCAGGTTCAAAGTAAACTGTATAGGAGAACAGGTAAATAATTGTTCAGGTGGGGTTCTGACCCAGTGTCTCAGCCTCCTGGATGCAGTTGATGTCCCTCAGGATGTCCTCGGTGACCTGCGCAGCTCCGTCCTCCGTGAACGTGGACACCAGGACGTCCACGATGTCCAGGCGGCTCTTCGCCTCCACTCTGCTCCGCCGGACCCGCGGCTCTTCCCGGCGGTCCAACAACTCGTGGCAGAACTTCTCAAAGTTCTGCTTCGACAGGTCGTTCAGAGTGTCTGCCAGAACCATCTTGATGTTCCTGCGGAGCATTTCTCCTTCTTCTGGAAAGGATGTGCAAGATGTTTGAGTCGTGCGCGTAAGAGTGAAACAGAAAGGATGCGTTCACGTCCGCTCGGAAACTGTCTCTCAAACCAAACTACCGTTTCAGACCTCGCATGTTTCTGCTTTAGATCTGAGATGTCCGACTTTTTTGTAAGCTCTTAAAGTAGTCCTGACCAACAGTCTTCACTTTCTGAAAGTCTTCCATGGGTTTTATTTTTGGACTTTTTCTGCGTTTTGTCCTAGTTTCGGTCCTTGTTTCTGAGCATTTTGAAGGTTTTAGTTTGTTAGGTCACTTAAACTACTTTATGTCCCATTCAGGCATCAAAACACTCCAAAACTTAAAAACTGAAGAAGATTTTGAGCGACGCGAACAGGAAAAACTCCGTAAAGTTTAAATTAGTTTCTCTTTCTGTAGTTGAATCTACAACACACACACACACACAATTCAGCTAAAATTAAAGCCAAGACAAACAACAGGATTGGATCAGAAGTTTTGTTCAGTATTTTTAGACTTTAACTCAACGAATTGTTACAAAAACACTAAAACAAAACCTTAAATGTCAAAGTTCATGCTCAACAATCCAGGTAAAAAACAAAATCCAACAATGTTCAGTCAGCTGACTTTTTTTTTGGAGACTTTTCGTCCATCATCCATAGGACTTCATCAGTCCGAGGAGCCACAACAAGCTCAGTCCCATAAAGCAGCACATTCCCATAGTGGGCCAACCAGTTTGCTGGTGATAAGATGGTTTCTGGGGGCCGCTCTCTCCCCTGTCAACTCATCTGAAGCAGCCTTAGCCAAAGTGGTTAAAAACATCAAAGTTCATGCTTAATAATGTTTTGAACCACTTCGGCTATGGCTGCCACAGACAAGTCGACTGAGGAGAAGGCAGGCCCCAGAAACCATCTTATCACCATCAAACTGGTTGGCCCACTATGGGAGTGTGCTGCTTTCTGGGACTGAGTTTGTTGTGGCTCCTCGGACTGATGAAGTCCTATGGATGAATGACAAAACGTCTAAAAAAAATGTCCAGATGACCTGACTGAACATTGTTGGAGAACCTTAAATTACCGGTATTTGATTTGGACTAAATCATAATTTTTTTATAACTACTGTGGAGAATTTCAGCTTGTGGTCCTTCTGCTCTAGGAGTAGCCGATGGTTTTGACTTCAGTATACAGTAGTCCCTCGTTTATCGCAGGGGATCCGTATCCTGAAGCCCCACGATAAGTGAAAAACTGTGAAATAAGGATAGTAGTACAAGTACTAAGAAGTAGTTTATTGTAGTATATATATATACATTATATATATAGATTTTTTTATTCAACCTTTATTTAGACAGGTTAATCCCAAAGTTAATCCCATTGGGCCCCGAGGGCTCATTTACAAGAGAGACCTGATTTAAAACCCTTTCCACTCTTGCAATATTCTCAACAATGTTTCTAAGCTCTGAACGCTCTAAAAGAGCAGAATGTCATGATTTCCCTCTCTGCCTCGGCTGCTCTCCGTCACCTGCCAACGTTCTCGGCCACGCCCACTTCTCCGCTCTGCACAGAGAACAGCTGATCAGCTGCAGCAGGAAGCTTCTCCTGCAGTGTGGGCTGCACAAAGCTGCAGCAGGTGCTAAATAATTTAAAATAATTTATTTTAAATAAAAAGTCCATGCCAATCGTGCGGCTCATCCACCACTCAGCCAATTGTGTGTCATGTCCACTCTTATTTTGAAAAATCGCGATAGAGTGAAAAACGAACTGCGAAGTAACGAGGGACTACTGTATAAATAAAAATATTTAACTTTACTGCTGCAGATTGAGATCCAAAGTCAAATAAAAGACGTTACATATTAAAACCTGTAATTCCAAATTATTTACTTCAATCAGAATTCTTTTTAACTATTTAAAACCTGTTTATTTCTCTAAAGTGTTTCAGTAAAGAAACAAAGTGGAAGCAGCTCAAAGTAATCATGTTTACTCACAGTTTATTTACAAATAAACACCATGAAACAAACAACAGTTAGCTGAAGTCTTGGAGGTAGACACGAGTTTTGTATAAAAATATTACAAATAAAATAAAAGCAGAAAACTCCCCGCGGCGCGCGTATTATTTACAGGCTTTGTGTTGAACCTTCAGTTTCTTCTTGATTCCTGAGATTGAACAGATTTTTACTTTTAATGGTCCGCAGGTTCTGCCAGAACCTTCAGAACCGCAGTCGTCACTGCGACCCCCACGACCCCGCGCCGTGTTCGGCCCCCGAGGGCCGCCAGGACTCTGAGGGCGGGACGTTCAGGCCGCTCAGGACCTCCTGCGCCGTCTTTCCCAGCATGCCTTGCACGTCGCACACGAAGCGGTAGACGTAGCGTTTGCCCGCCGTCTTGTGGATGATGTTCTTGTGGTAGTAGTAGCGCAGGCCGCGGCTCAGCTTCTCGTAGTTCATCTTCGGCTTGTTCTTACACTGACCCCAACGCTTGGCCACCTTCAAAATAAAATACAGGACATTTTCAAAATAAAGCACAGGAAGCGTTTAGGTACAGGTTGAAGTGATAATATTTTAATGTTCGTTTTAAACGACGCATAGGAATTTACAATTAAAGAACTTCAAAGATTTTATAATTTTAAGACAGAGTGACGGGAAGTGATTTCCTGAGCAACAAAAGAGTTTTATTCAAATTAAAACTATTTTTAGATTTTATTTCACTTTAAGATTGTTAAAATATTTAACTCAAATTTTCCCCTAAAAAAACAAACATTTTTTTTTTGTTCTCTGAGCTAAACTTTTGATACTTTTAGCTAGTGCTCTGCACTCTAGCTAGCCTTTTGCTAGTTTTAGCTTTTTGTGCTTTTAGCTCATAGGCAGACTCTTGACAAATTATGATATTTTACAAATTCTTTCAATGTTTTCAGCTTTGAGCTAGCTTCTTGCTTCTTCTACAGTTTAACTAACATTTAACTACTTTTAGCTTCAGTCTGCTTTTTGCTGCTTTTAGTTTCAAATTATCATTTTGCTACTTTTAGCTTCAAACTATCCTTTGGCTATTTTAGCTTTCAGCTAGATTTTTGCTAATTTTAGCTTCAAACTATCCTTTGGCTACTTTAAGCTTTCAGATAGATTTTTGCTAATTTTAGAGTCAAAGTATCCTTTGGCTACTTTAAACTTTCAGCCAGATTTTTGCTAATTTTAGCTTCTTTAGGCTACTTTTAACTTTCAGCTAGATGTTTGGTACTTTTAGCTTCAAACTATCATTTGGCTACTTTAAGCTTTCAGACAGATTTTTGCTACTTTAAGCTCTAAAATATTATTTGGCTACTTTTAGCTAGTTAGATGTTTGCTGCTTTTAGCTTCAAAATATCCTTTGGCTACTTTTAGCATTCAGCTAAATTTTTGCTACTTTTAGCTTCAAACTAACCTTTGGTTACTTTAAACTTTCAGAGAGATTTTTGTTAATTTTAGCATCAAATTATCCTTTGGCTACTTTTAGCTTTCAGCTAGATATTTACTACTTTTAGCTTCAAACTGTCATTTAAGCGTTCAGCCAGATTTTTGCTACAGTACTTTAAGCTTCAAACTATCCTTTCGCTACTTTTCGTTTTCAGCTACATTTTTGCTAATTTTAGCTTAAGCTATGCTTTGGCTACTTTAAACTTTCAGCCAGATTTTTGCAACTTTAAGCTTTAAACTGACCTTTGGCTACTTTTAGCTTTCAGCTAGATTTTTGCTATATTCAATGTTACTCTTGACACCTTTAGCTAGCATGTCATACTTTACTGATTCTTTAGCTGTTTGCAGCTTTAAGATAGCTTTTAGCTACATTTAGCTCTGAGTCAGCATTTGATGCTTCAGCTAGCCTTTGGCTACTTTTAGCTCGTGTTCTTTTTTGGGTCTTTTAGCTGTTTTCAGATAAGTGTGAAGCTGCAGGAAACAAACTAAATTTTTTGTTGTTTTCTCTCCTGTCTGGTTCTGATCCGGTTCTGAAGGTGTCTGTTGAGTCACCTCTGTTGGGTCGGACATCTTGAACTCCCAGCCATCTCCCGTCCAGGAGATGAAGTTTCTGCAGGCCGAGTCCAGAAGGAGCTCTAGGAGGAACTGCCACAGCTGGATCGGACCAGAACCTGAACACAGCAGAACCCGTTAACGAGGAGTCCTAAACCTTTTTATTAAATTCTTCAGAGAGCGGTTCTGACCCGGATAAGTTGACATCCCAGTCACCGGACCCTCTCGTTCCAGTCTCTGAGGAGGGGTGGTTCTGCGTTTGGCCACACGGGGGCAGTACGGGTCTGCGGCCTGGTGGGGCGGGTTGGAGGGACCCGGTCCTGGATGGGGGGCTGGGAAGCCGGGGTACTCGGACCAGAAAGAGGTTTGTCTCTGCACATCTGAGTCACAGAAGTTCTGATCGTTTTCAGCTGGAAAACATGGAATTGTTATTGGGCCGGGTCAAAGGAGGAGGTGGGGTTAAAGGTCATAGGTCATACTTTTGAAGACTTTGGTCAGGAATGGGCTGCGGCTCCCCTCCACAGACGGGCTGAACTGTTTGTTCTGGGCTGGCAGGTTCTGGTAGGTCTGCAGGGGCTCCAGGTACCCGGTTTGGTCCGGTCCGTCTGTGGATGAGAGGTACCGTCAGACTTACCAGAACCTCTCTGAGGCTCAGGACAGGTTCTGGGCTCACCGTGGGGGTAGGAGGAGCTCCACCAGGTGAAGTCCGGGTACGAGTCTAGGTTGAAGAGGTTGGTGTCGCTCCCTGGAACAGAACAGAACCCGTCAGAACCAAAGGCTCGTAACAGAACAGAACCTCTGGCAGCTGGAGGTAAAAGTGACGACCTCTGACCTTTGGTGTCATAAAGATGAGCGGCCTTCGGAGGTTCTGGGTAGCTGCTGCTGTCCAGCCCGAACTGCTGCGGTCCGGACGGGTTACTGTCTAACAGAAAGGACAGGTCTTCACCAGGACGGTCTGAGGACGCCTCAGACAAACGCAGGAGGAGGAGGAGGAGGAGGAGGAGGAGGAGGACCAAACAGTTTTACAGAGATCAGCGTTAAGTTGCCTTCAGGGACCGTAGGAAAAATCTGACCGGTGACACTTTGCACCAAAACTTAACATAAATAGTTAAAATGGCTAACTTAGTGTTTTTAGTAACTTTTTAACCTCAGTTTTAAAACTGGATTTTTCAAAGACTCTTATTTTGAAAATATTCTATAGTTTTGAAACTCAAAATAACAAACTTTGTTTTCCTGACGTTAACAAGAGACTCTACAGGATTTTTGGGGGGCAGCCATGATGGAAACACAGAAGGAAGAAAAGCATGCTGGGTGATGTGGAATCTGTTGGTTGCCATGGTGATTCCCGCTGAGCCGTCCCTGTTTGTAGTTTTTCTTGTACGGTTTTCTGGACGAACTACTTCAGTAAATGTTTTAGCCATTCTTGTATGAAAACTTTCGGCTTTACAGATAAAACTTGATTTATTTTAGGTTTTCTCCGGGTACTCCAGTTTCCTCCCACAGACCAAAAACATGCATGTTAGGCTGATTGGTAACTCTAAATTGTCCCTAGGTGAGAGAGAGAGAGTGGATGGTTGTTTGTCTCATTCGTCTCCAAGTGTCCCTGTGATGGACTGGAGACCCGTCCAGGGTGTCCCCCGCCTCTTGCACAGTGACTGCTGGATATGGGCACCAGTGACCCCCGTGACCCGAAAAGGAAGAAGCGAGTAAAAGATGATGGATGGATGTTTAAATTATTTTTTTATTTTTTTAATAAAATCAATAAAAATTAAATTAAATTCTTGAAGAACTTTTGAGGTTTTTTTACATTTACATTTCTACATAAAACTGCTTGTTGTTCTTTACTGTTCTGCTGACTTTGACTTTTAGCTACTGTTCTGCTAATGTTAGCTTTTGTCTACTGTTTTACTTGTATTTTTGGTTACTGTACTACTGATTTTAGCATTTAGCTACATTTTCCTGGTTTTAGTTTTGAGCTTTTGTTTTGCTAATTTAAACTTCTAGCTACTGTTCTACAAAATTTTAGCTTTCAGCTACTGTTTTGTTGATTTTAACTGCTGTTTTGATGGTTTAAGCACTAAACCACATATCACCAAAATTAAGCTTCACCCAATTGTTTATTTGCAACATTTAGTTTTGGCTCTGGAAACTTTAGCTACATTTTTAATTTTAGTTGGTTTAGCTTTTAGCTGCTGTTTCCTGTTTTTAGCATTTTGCTACCGTTTAATTTGTTGTAGTTTTTAACTTGACTGGAATACTGACTTTAGCTTTTAGCTACATTTTGCTGCTTTTAATTTTAGCTAGTGTTCTGTGTATTTGAGCCTTTAGCCACAGTTTTTCATTTAAGCTGTTTTTGTTTTAGTTTGGTTTTTATCTAAAGCTATGGTTTTGTTAATGTGTTTTTTACTTTAGCTGTGGATTTGCTCATACATTAGCTATAATTCTATTTGTTTGATATTTTAGCTGCTGTTTTGTTGCTTAATTGCATATTTGTCTCTTTTAGCTGCTGTTTTGTTTCTTTTAGCTGCAGATTTGTCTCTTTTAGCT